AACTTTTCAAGTTATTTTAACTGATAAAAACAAGTTTTAATCGATTAAACAAGTTTTAATCGATTAAAACGCTATGCAGAAATTGTTCTAATCGATTGAAACAAGATTTAATCGATTAAAATAGTTCTGATCGGTCATAACTGCATTCTGATCGATCATAATTGAAACAATATAATAGCGGTTCCAGGTTAACCGCTATCTAAAATGTTTTTCGCTTGAGCGACACTCTTCTCGCTCGAGCGAAACGCCCCCTGCACAAAATTGGCATTCTCGGGTTGTATTTCGCTTGAGCGACACTACTCTCGCTCGAGCGAAATAAGATTCTGATTGATCATAACTTGAAATGATCGATCATAATCGAGAGGATATAATAGCGGTTCCCTTATAACCGCTATCTAAAGTTTGTGAGTTTTTGTGGGGAAGAAAATCAATGGGGTTTCGACGTCGGTTATACCCACACCCGACGTTGAAAGCCCATGCAGAAGGGTTTTCAACGTCGGGTGAGGGCATGACCGACGTTGAAAGCCTACTTTCCACGTCAGGCGTGCTAAAACGACGTAGAATGTGTCAAAATTCGACTTTCGACGTCGGTTGTTGACCAACCGACGTTGAAAGCATATTCAACGTCGGCTAAGATGTAACCGACGTTAAACAGCGACGTTGAAAGCATATTTTCTAGTAGTGTTCCAAAGTTTATCCACCTTACAAAATGCTTTCAAGTGAGAAGATTGGTCATTTACATTATGTATAATTTTCTGAAAGACATTTTTGTAATTTCTCTTATTTGTTGGCATCATCATATTTATAAGTGTCAAGATCAAACTTCACTAATTGAGAGTATTAAACTTTAACATTAACCTATAGGATCAACTAATATATGAATTGGTGAGAGGTTATCTAATACTAGATCATATATTATAAGAGCAATTATAATGTATAATAGATGATTTGACAATGAAAGTAGTATACATCTAGTCAATCATTTGATAATGAAAGTAGTTAACATCTAGTAGAAAATTTGATATCGAGAGTAATTTGGTAGACCGATTAATAGTTAGGTCTAGTAAACTATTTAATCTATATCGAATCATTCTTTACAAATTTCATCTTGAAATTACTATAAAGATGTATTAAACAAAACCTATATTTCACACCTTGTAAAATTTCATCAAAAACTAACATAAGGTTATGCAAAAAATAAGTTAGTAATTAGTATACATTTTATCAATAATAACAATGATTAAGTTTTTTTTTTGTCTTTGTTAATAAAATATAAATGTCGATCATTGATTTGGATATTATCAATAACAATAAATTCAAAAAGCATCCCCAACCTTCTTTAATCTCATTTTTCATATCTACAAATGCAAGCGTAAATATTATTCATTCAAAATTCTTCTTCCCACCAACAAGTGACCACCATAAGTTATTTTAAGTGGTACCCATCAACATCGATAAAACGTCTGCAACTAGGTAAAAACCTTTAAACAATATAAAAACTCACAATTGGTTATAAATTCAGACTAAGTTGGATTAGTTAAATATTGAAAGTAGTTCTTAAACATACTCTTCTTAATTCAACCATATAATCAAATAGTAGGGTATATCCATCTTTTTCAAGTATATCTCTTCTTGCATTATTGTTTTTCTTTCAAAGCCCTCAATTTAGTGATTCTAGTATTATATAATCTCTTAACATCATCAATAATTTCATTAACTATCACATTTTTTATGTTTCTAAATTTGTTTATCACAATTGTTAAGGTTCCAACATAAAATCAATTGATAATATATGTTAAATCATATCAAATGATATGAGGCAGACGATGTGAGATTTCCAACACGCTCCCTCCAACAAAGTCTGTCGAACCAGACAAAGGGTACTTTTGACCCATAACTAAAAGACAATTCTTGACCCAAGATAATAACCAGAAAAATGTTATATTTTGGCTACGATACTATGTTAAGGTTCCAAAATAAAATCAATTGACAATATGTGGAGTAATCTAACAAATATTTAAATTATATTAAATGACATGAGGTAAATGATGTGAGATTTCCAACAACAATTTTGAGACATCTAAACTTTATTTACATTATTTTTAGCAAAAAGTCTTTAAACATTTATGTTTATCAATAAGTATTTTAACTCTAAATATTTGAATATCACTAATCTTGCTTACCAACTATACGAAATCCACACCATTTACTATAGACAACTTTATCTTGTCATTTTTCAAAAAATCCATTTGTTTCTCATTTAATACAAAAAGTTTCATAATTACTTGTTTATAATCCCTTAAGAAAATTTCTTCCCATAATCATCACGTCATTTAGATCATTAACTAATTTTTTGTTATAATTATTTTTCATCAATTTCATGATTGTTAATCGTTTTATTTACCTTCAAACTCACACTTTTCTTTTCCCATTTTTACTTCCATCACTTTATCATTTTGCCCATCATCTTTTTCTGCATTTTTGTCTTCAACCTAATTTGACTTATGGAGGAAGTTAAAAAAAAAAAATTATGACTGAACCTAATATATATTTTAAAACAAGTCATAATTTTTTTACTTATATTGACCGGTCAATTTTGCACTAATTGAAAAATTTTAAAAGTTATTAACGGATTTCTATCAAACTAATTAATTAAACATATTTAAATAAAATTTAAATATAAAAAATGTTGGTTTTAAAATTTAAGTTATATTAATGAAATTAAATTTTATTTTACATATAATAATTTAATATATAAATTACAAGAGAAAAGATTAATTCGATTCTAAAATAAGAGTTAAAAACTTACTTTTTATTGTTATCATTCATTTTAAGTAATCTAATTATTTAAGATAATAAATTCATCTTACTATTAAATCTTGAAATATATAGATATTAGAAACTTATTCTTATATTTACTTTTAAAATAAGTGGATTTATTATCAAATTAATTTTTAATATATATATATATATATATATATATATATATATATATTATTTTTTTAATAAAATAATATTATTTTATTTTTATTTAAAAATAATTATTATTCTATAAAATTGTTTAATTCATAAACTTATGAGTTAACCTGATCTTAACCCTTTTAGATTATGACATAAACAAGTTAGGACAAAATAAATCTAATTTAATTTAGATTAAATTTTTTTATTTAATCAAGTTTATTTCTCATATCTTAGTTCATCAAATTAAGACTATTTTGATATATATTTTATTATTGAAATTCAATATCCTTAACTTACACATCAACATTGTTCATATCATTAACATCATTAATCTTAATACATTCCTCATTGTCGGTTCTAATTTCATTCACACCACCAACCTCACCACCCTTCATTCCATTTACAAGAATTATTCAAAGAACTCAATTATCTCATATTAGTTCAATTATCTCATCTTAACTAATAATATGTTGCACATAAAGATCATCTAAGTAATGCATAATCAACCAATTATATAACATTCCTAGTCACAATTATTTCAAATATTTATTCATCCTTCCATTTTTAGGTTTCAACCAAATTTTCTCCTCACCTTCACCTCACCTTTTAAGTGTTTCAAATATTTCAAAATATGATAATCTGTTAAATCCAATTCATAAATAACATGTCATATATTGTAACGTAATATCAGGGAAGTTAAAAAAGATTTCCATTATAATGAAAAGTTATAAAGAAACTCACTTCCTAGATAAAAAAATTGACTTGAATAACTGCAAACAAATTTGACTTGTATAAAACACATTCAAACAATACCCAAACTAAAAATATCCTAAGTTTATTATGATGGATATTTTTTTAATCAAATATGATTCAAAGAAAATAAATTATATTCTTAAACCTTAACAACGCCTCCTCCATAAAAAAAAATCTCAATAAAAATAAAAGTGAAATAAATGAAAATTTTACCTTACAACCAATTAAACAAATATATATATATATATATATATATATATATATATATATATATATATATATATATTAATGACAACAGCTGAACAAAATATGTATCTATGCTCATGTCTAACGACAAAAAGAAAATTATAATCTCATAACTCAACTACAAATCGATAATCATATTCAATTGCATAATATTTTTTTATTAAATAGTTTCAAATGATATTAATTTATATTAAAAAACATATTCGAACAATTTTTCTTTTCATTTTTTATACATTTTAAACACATCTCACTAATTTTTACATCAAATATTTTATAGATTTTTCCAGACTACATGAGGAATAAAAAAGGAAATTTGAGAATTATTGTGAATAAAAATAGACAGTTTGGAAAAATTTTAATTTAATTGTATAAAAAATATTTAATTTTATTTAGAAAGTTTTGTAAATTAATATTATGGCACATGTTTTTAAAAAAATATATTTGAATAGTACAAATCTATATCCTATTTATAATTATAATTTAAATTTATGTATCAATTATATAGAGATAGAGAGGACGGTAGTATGCTATTGGATTATAATTTAATAGTAGTATAGACTTAGATTGTGAGTGTGGGTTGATGCAAGTTAAAAATGTTTTCAAGGGTTTCAGTACTAAGATTTTTAATAGTATCCAATGTGATTAGATGTAAGTTTAAGCATACAAGTAGGGTTAATTTTACAGTGAAGTAGAACCCATTTGTTGTTTAACCAAAATGAGAAATTTTTTTGTTGTGTTTATAGGGGAGGGTAATTATGGTGCAGCAATTTAGTGGTCTGGCATGAAATATGAATAGTGAAGTAATTACATTCACTGGTATCATCACTAAAACAATGGGGCACCAATGAAAAAGAATAACAAATGCGTACAACCAGCCATACATCTACGTAGCTAACAATGGGGGCCTCAATATGAGGGCAAAGGAAATACAAAATTGAAAAAACAGGAACAAAGTGAAGAAGTGGGAAAAGAATCTAAAACGGGAGATTAAAATAGTACGGCGGGACACCCTGAATTTAGTTAAATGTACAGAGAGCATGCTACAGCCTTGACACATCAATATCGTACTCCAGGTAATGTACAGAAAGGGTGTGTAGGAACACGACTTTGTCCTCTGCCTCTTCAAACATCTTGTTCGGTTCAGCAGGTCCTCTGCCTTTCCATGTTCCCAAAGAGATTCCTGCAAATGAACGCTTGCCATTCTCTCTTCTCAATTGGCATCATGAACAAAAAAGATGCCACTTCCTTGAAATTCAATCCAAATATATAATCAGATCAAAGAGACCCTTCAACAAAATCCTTTTACCCTCGAAAATGGAGTGTGCCCTCCCGCCAGATGGGAAGGGGAAAAAATGAAACAATCACAATATCAGAAATACAGTCAGCAGCAAGCATGCTCACAAAATTGTAGGTTGCGTAAACACCCATCATATTCTTAGTAGATCAAGTTGCCGTTGAAGATCTTGAATCATCAGTTCTATTGGCACGGCACATACAGTCTGGGCATGGAAAGCTGTATATAGAATCATTCGGCCTTTTTAGTTCAACCCCCTTGGAATCACTATGCGACCTCATGCTCAGCAGTTGACGCTTAAGACTTTTCCATCTGGAAAGTAATGAAAGTAGATGAGGAATATTTAGATACATTCTGTTTAGCAAAAGTTTTCAATATTTTTACTGACAGCTATAGACCTCTCATTGAACACAATCAGAATTCTTTACAATGCCCTAACTCCTAAGAAATTAACGGCACAACTCATGTAAATGCAAGAGTTACATAAAGTAGCACAATTCTTCTATGAAGGATAGCTCAATAGCTTAATTTACCAAATAGTTTTCCAAGTAAATTTTCTCCAGCTCAATATAATAAAAGGATATTTTCTTCAAAATAGCCTTGTATTGATGTCACTTATCCCAATATTGTAACTATAATTACTTTCAATATCCACAAAACATAAGGAGAAGGGGAATTTTTCGTCTGGGGAACTCATCTAATTTATTCTATCCTAATAAAATTGAACTGAGTAAAACATGCCAACAAAACATACCCTATAGTGGGATTATCAAACAGTAATGCCAACTTCCGCTTATCAGGTTTAATTGTCTTAGCATGTCCTCCATACAAGTATCTTCTGTGACCAAGCAAGAAATGAGGGAAGTTGCCTCCTTGAGTTGTGACAAACACCTCACTGTGAAGACAAACACTGTAATCTATAGCAGCCATCCTGGAAGAATAATTCTAGAAGAAGTAACTAGAGTCAAAATCATAGCACTAAACCAATGAAGTGGTCAAATAAATAAGAGTACAAATGTGAACCTTAAATGGAGTAAGCTCCTCTTCAGAAGCCAGGGTATCCTTAGTATGTAAATTAGGAAACATTTCCAGTAGTGGGGCCATAGTTTTCTCAGAATTATATATTTTCCCAGATGCCAGAAAAATAGATGTGTTCTTTGTGAAACCCATTCCCCTCAGCATAAGCCCAACCTGAAGAAATGGATGAAGGCATTGATTATAAATAAAAAAAAATAGGGAAAAAAAAAAAATACAAATTTGCTGCATAAGGAGCACTTCAAGAAATGTGAAAACTTCTAGCTAGACAAACAACTTCCAGAAAGAAAGAACCCCTCCCTGAATATTTCCTCCTCTTCACACACGCAAAATCATTAGAGCTTTAAGCAGACAATTACCTCTAATGGGGTAAGGGGACACTTTCCATTGGTCCTGATTGCTCCTGGACGTATAACTCGTCCAGGTTTTGTAAATTTCCCTTTCCAACCTCTTTCTCTAGCCGCAATCATGTCTTCTCTCTCCTGTTTTCCACCATCGAAAACACAACAAGAGAAAGCAACCATATCCTGCCCATGGAAAAGCATGTACATCAGTTGCAACAAAGGTTAACATGTCAAACTTATTAACATTCATATCTGATCAAAACAAACCTCTTCAAAACGAAGATGTACAGAGACATATTTACCACCATTAATAGCACTGTGTTTTGTCATTCTTTCAACCAAAGATTCACCTATGGTCAATATTGGACTTGAAAACCGTAAAGCCTCATAATTTGCTAAGCATCTAAGCCGCTGGACAACTGGAGGAGCATCAAATGACAATCTATTTGCAAATGGTGAAATCCTTATAACCCTGCATGAAAAAAAAATTTCAATATCCAGGCCTCCTTATATCAAGACAATGATAACCGTAAATACATATTTGATGATAATGATTTTCAGCAAAAAATTATCTATTGATTGTTATGTCCCAACCCAAATAGAGTAAAGATTTAAGCCATACAATATTAGACTCTCCCTCTCATAACGCTAATCCAAACGGATAACTAAATTTTTGCTAGCTATACCCCAATATGTGGGTCCTTTCCTTCCTTTCCTTGACAGAAAAAAAATGAAAGAACATAAGCTAAAGACGTAGTTAAGAGTCCTATTCCTAGCTGTCAATGAAGCCAAATGTATCATACAACAGAAAAGAGGTAACATTATGCACTACTTTCTACTCCCATATATACCTTGGACAACTAACAATTACTGCAAACCGTTTAATTGATAACTATTTATACAACAAGCATCCTACACTCACTTTTCTTCAAGTAACTTAGGGAGTACTACATCTCTGTAATACTGAATAGATGACCATGCTTTAATCCTGAAATTGTGAACGTTTGTCATGTTGCTGCCAAATCTTTCCATTAGATACTCAGGAATCTTGTCAACCACCCGGACATCATTTCTTAAGGTATTGACAAAAAATTCTTCATCATAAATGTCCCTGAATTTGCTGGACACATGAAGCAATTATATTGATAAGTTTAGACTGTCTGAAAATGAATACCTTGATCAAAATCATAAAAGCATCAAGAAGAAACTCACTGCAACCAAGAAGTTTATAACTACTACTATAAACGCATAATATTCCATTTGACAAAACAGCATACCAATAGCCATATTCAACACTGAAAAAGGATGTCTCATTAATTAAAAGACAACCATTAACAAAGATATTAAGATTTCAAAATTTAAATGTATCTACAACTTAATTGACATGAAAGAAGTTTCAAATAACAATCTCTCAGACACTTTGGTAATCAAATTTTCACAATACAAATTAAATGCATCCCAATTTATTATAAATTTATAATATCTCTTGTTGGATATAGGTTTTCCACTTTTCCTGTTTGGGAGGATGTGCTATCCTCTAGTAGTTGTGTTTTCCCCTTTCTCTCTATAAACAATTTTTTTCAATTAATTGTTTTTAACAGTAGCATGAGAAAAATATAAATAGCATAACATTCTAAGAGGTATTAATCTTATACCATCATAAAACACTAAACTTTCCTACTTCAGAAAAACTTAAATCAATAGCATCACAAACTAACCTAGGGTCTTTCCATATGCTATGATAATGAAAGTTGGGGATCACTAGTGTAGCATTGAGATAGCCTGCCACAGCAACCGCATTGCACACCTGTGAAAAATTGATATCATTCACAAAATAAATGAGTTGAGTAAAAGCACATTAAGCACACTTCGAATAACAGAATGTACAGAAAACCCTTACTGATGTCCTCTGCTGATTTAAGCCACCATTAGCCTCCACATATATGTACCCATTTGATTCAGGTAGGACTATCAACAACATAAGAAATGTACATTCATAGTTAACCAAACACAGTACAATGCAGAAGGTACAGACATGATTACCCACATACACACACAGAGAACAATGACCAACAATATCAGAGGAATCCTGACAAGAATGGTCCACTTTGTAAGTTAAAGGCAACTCAGTGCTTCAACAAAAGATTTTACTTCCCAATATTTTTTTTCTTTAGATAGAAAAGGGTAAGGAACAATAAATAAAAGGGTAAGGAAAAGATGCCCTTCAAAACAAAAAAGGCTATAATGCATGACAAAAAGGTTTTAAAGACTCAAGAATGTAGCATGGCTTCCCAATCTCCAAATAACAGGAAGAACAAGACCCTGAGAGTTGACACAACTGGAGGTGAACACCCAAGAGATGCCAGAAACATACGTTTTGGGGCAAGAATATGTCATGAACAATCTACCACAGAATCTTAAGCTGATGAAGACACATCAATGGTTTTATATTATATCTCACACATGCCCCTTCATACAAGAGAGAGCCTACAGGTTTAAAGCATGGATAACTACATAATCACCCAACCTTGCACTTAAATTCAACTTTTATGACAATAATAGGAGCAGCAAGGATAAAACTCTAAACAATCTGGTCATAGAGGGCTGATACCATTTTAGAAATAAATTGGACCTAACTCAACTCCCAAAGCTAACTCAAGGAGAAGGGTTGCCGAAACCTTCTAAGGAGTATTTCGGCCAATTTCCTAGCTCAATGTAAAACAGCTTAACACATACCCTCACACCTAGGGGTGGGGCATCTGATGCATGAAGTCTAGACATCTACAGGTGGCCCCTAACATCAAGACTAGATGGACTCGCATGCCATGTCATGGATGGCTTCTTGTCACATCTCTAACAAAATACGTTCTAAAACAAGCAAACACTAAACTCCAACCAAAGGAATTAAATGAGTATCAACAAGGAATAGGCAAATCAATGGTGCCAAAAGCCCTAACAAATTATGCACCAGAACAAAAAAAAAAAGAGATAAAAAGGAAAATGTCCTCATTTACTGTGCATCAGTACAGATTATATATACCTTCCCAAGATCTGTTCACACATGGTTTCCACTCGCCACCTTTATAGGGAGTCTTCCATATTGTTGATATCTGAAAGGAAATTTATGAGCACGTCACTGAATGTAACCATCTAGAACCAAAAAATAAATTAAATTGGAAAAGTATAAAGATTTGTAATGTACTATGGAAGAAACCAACAAAAAGACCCAAATTTTGTAAGTATGTAATTTGAAAAGCAGGATGCATGGTCGGAATCAAACATCCTCCAATAGCTAGTGAATGGCAATTATAAAAGACAACAAAGAAATTATCCTCACAAGAGGTAAAAGATATTTGTTAATTTTGACCTGCAGCAGTGAAGAGAAAAAAATTTCAGACCAAAATATTACAATTAAACATAAAATTCTAGTCAAACATGGCTTACAAATATTAAGCTCACTCCTCTCCTAGGTTAGTGGTCAGTTGATATCCTCTCAAACCATGGAAGCATGGGTTTGAACACAGCATCTACTGCCTTTCACAAAATATTACCACCAGAAGTGAAATTCTGTCCAAATGAATACATAAGCATATTGTTCCCTTTTCTTTATTTTGGAAATGGCTATTATCATCTCAAAGGAATCCCTTCGAAGTCGGGTGTCAAAATTAGTTTGTTTTTAAAAAGAATATGCTAGGTCAGATTCAAATATATGCAGCACACTAATACAATTTCGGTCAATAAAACTCCTAAAACAATATAACCCTTAACATTCTCACTGATAATTCAACAAGCAACTTTGACAATTAGAACCATTTTCCTCTATTAAATATGCGCAATCATGCAGTTGTAAAGCATTTGGCCAATCGATTACTCACATTACACTAGCCTCTGGATTCAGACCTGACAAACAATCCAACTATAAAACGCATCACAGAGCACAGAAGCTCTTCCATAAGCAAGTTAATTACATTCGAATGAAAGATGCAAAACCAAACAACAAATACAGACGCAAAACGCAAAGGCTAAACCTACATTAGAAAAGGCAAGCCAGTCGAAACTCGATTCCCAACAAAGAAATAGAATAAAATAAAACGAACTCCATCGGAATAACCTGACAAATCACAAATCACCAAAATCCGCCGAAAAATAAAAATTAATAAAATACAAAGAGATTTGAAAATGAATCGAACCGCATCGGCGGACGAATTGTCGGAATCCATGTCGAGGCGAAGCTTGGCGTAGAGCTGAGGGCTACGGTAAATTGAGCCGGGCGCGGGACGATGTTTAATGACCGGAACGACGTCGAACGAAGCGGTCCCCATGTAGAGTAGCATGCCGGAGATGTATATGAGAGGAGCGAAGAGGAACACGCCTTGTCGTCGGAGCAGAACCGATAAGAACATCCAGCTAAGCCGCTGCGCGGCGGTCCGACCACCCCCCCGGTTCGGAGAGAACCGCCCGGTCTTGGACCTCCCGTGGCGGAGCCTCGGTGACCGGAGCGGCGACGGCGGCGGCGACGGCGTCGAGTGCCCGCTGCTCGGTAGCCGGTTGTACGGGTGCATTTGGGATCAACGTTTCCACATCACAACTCTCTCTCTCTCTCTCTTCCCTACCACCGCAGCCGCACGCAGCGCGATGTAACGTTCCGAGAAAACGACACCGTTTCTGGCTTGATTTCCTGATAGAAGAAAGAAAAAGAGAGAGAGAGAGCACGTGGGTTGGCTTGGCTTGGCAAACGCAACACAAACGCAATGCAGTCTTTTCCTTTGTTTTATGGAGAGGGAAAAGCACCAACATGCACCTATTTCAGTTTTCTTTTTTATTTTTTTCCTTTAATTCTTCCCTTTTAATTTTTTAATTCATAACTTTTTCCTCATTTATTATTTAATCAGTTTATTTATTATTACTTTATTTTTGACTCAGTGCAGGTGCGTGAAGAAAGGTATCACGCATATCAGAGGAGTGAATGCCTTCCAACGAATTGTTTCTGTTTCTGCTTTTCTCATCATGCTCATAACACACACACACACACTCCTCAACAAAGAACAAAACTATAGTCTGCGAGTGATTCAATCATTTTAGACATTAAAAACTCAATAATCTTGAAAGTACTCAAGATTATCATTGATTCCGCTGATAAACAAGCTTCTACAGAACCCCATCTAAGTAGAAATTTTTGCACATCGTTTAATCATGCCACTTTTGACAAAAAGTACTTAAGCATATGCATTTATATGTGATGGATTCCGTAAGCATTTTTGTCTCTAGTGTGTACAAAAAAAGAAACCAACAACATTTTTGGTTCGCGTGTTAAACCTAAAATATGTATAAACCATAAAGTGCTTCTAATTTTGATTGACTAGTGGTTGCTCTTAGTTTCTCAAAAGGACTTAAGTATCATTAGCATTTCTCTCTACACCATGCACTTTCTTCTTTTAAAATTGGGAGTTATAGTTCTTATCTACTTTATATTTTCTGTTAATTTTTTTATTTAATACATTTGATGAAAATTAATAACAATTATTTCATTTTTTATATTTTTATAAATATTTAATTATTTTATTTCTCTATCTTTAATTGAGTTTTTTTTTTCCAAAAATTGTAGCTCTTTTGTTGTTATTTTTTACACATTGAAATTATTATTCAGAATTAGTTGCAAAGATCAAAATGTGCATAAAATATACAACTACACAATTACTTTTATGATAATTTATCTTAACATGAAATTACATTTTGACCAATCATATAAAAAGGTGGGTTAAAAGTACTCTTGTAGTTATTCTTTCTTAGAATAAAAAAAAATTATTAAGTTTTTCAAGTTGAACTCACATATTTTTTAATAAACTTTTCTAAGCGTTTAACCAAGAGTATTCCTTAACATTCATACCAATTGTTGGAAAAACAATAATAATAATAATAATAATAATCCTGATTTTGATTCTAACAATCAAACATAAACATAATCTCATACTGATAAACATGCTGTAAACTGAATGCGAAAGCGTACCTGAATTAGCCATAACGATGATGTCTTTGTAGAGCACTATATTGATCTTATGGTCTCTACACAATTTTATTTTCATGACATATGCTTTTAGCCAAAACTTTAATTTAGTCAGATCACTTTATTATTTGGCTTAATAAATAATGACCCTAACACATTTAAATATGTATCATATATATACATGACCTAAAATTTGCCAACAATCTCCCACTGGTCACAAATATATATGTCTTTACAACCTTACAAATGTGTTAGACTTTATGAGCTGAAAATTGTCATTATATTCCTTTAGCATATTCCAAAAGTCCTGTCCATTAATCATATGAGGATATAGAACCAAACCAGCTTTTCATTGCATCATCGCAACTAAAACCAACAAGATTACTCATCCTAACATAACCAAATGACATGGATTCATCATGAAATGTGTAGCATGAAAAATTACGTGAAGGTGATCTGTACACGTCTATTTTCAACTGGTCCAAACTTTAACTTATCGAGATCGATACAATAACCTTAATGTACAAAGTGTAATGAATGAACAAGAAAACCGCATATCTATAGATAACCAAATATGTCCAAAAAAACAATGTATACATATATGAAATTAAACATAGAACATAAAATATACAAAAGTGACTAACTCCCACTAAACCACAAATTCCTCAAACTGTAAAACACCCATGTGAGCAAAATGCTCATGAAAGACCTTGGGTGGAAGTCCTTTAGTCGAGAGAATCCGGTATCATGGAGTTTGTCCTTAAGTGTTCTATGAAAATCATGTCCACTTTGTACTCTTTCCTTAACAATACAGTTGATTTATTGTCACAATATAACTTAAGTGGTCTTTCAATGCCTTTCACAATTTGTAGCCTCGTGACAAAATTTATCGACCATATTCCATGATTTGATACCTCATAGCAAGTTACAAATTCTTGACATCCTACAAAATCTGAGTCGGAAAACCCAGCGATCTCCAACTGGTCCGACCTCCTATATGTGAGCATATAATCTTTTGTTCTCTTTAAATATCTTATGACCCTTTTTCTGCTTTTCAATGGTCTATTCCTGGATTGCTTAAATATCCGCCTAGAACCCCAACTATATATGATATGTCCGGATGCGTACATACTTGGGCATAGATCAAACTCCCTACAACCGATGCATAGGGAATCTTTTGCATTTCCTCAATTTCCAAATTCCCTTTGGGCACCGATTGAGACTAAACTTGTCTCCCTTTAAACTTGTGATACATACAATCATCAACAATATTCATCTTGAAGCCAAATGAGTTTCATTCCTTCTGGTAATGGGACAAGTTCCCAATAACCTTATTGTCTTGCATGGACTTATACTTATCCTATTGCTTCAATCCACTTTTGAGATTTAGAACCTTATATAGCTTGACGGAAGTTAACCGGGTCATCTTCCATTATATCATTATTTTCCTCATGTTCCTGAAGAAATACCATGTAATCATCCGAAATAGCACTTCTTCTTTCTCTAGTGGATCTCTCGCAAAGTTATTAGCTCATGATGCACGGGTTCTTGAGGATCTTGAGTTTGTTCTTCATGAACAACCAAATCATCTTGAGTAAGGGGTTCATCAACAATGTCTTGTGGAGGTTCGAACTTACTTTATCAAAAGTAACTATTTGAATTGGTTCTGAAATTGTTACCGATTCTTCCTCCAAGATGAAGTTCTTAATCTTATTCTTCCCCCCAAACTCAATATCCTCAAAGAACGTAGCAGCTTCCAGTCTCAAAAAATTGTCTTTAATGTGGGATCATAATATTTATATCCCCTGGATCTTTCAAGCATAACCAATAATATAACCACTTACTCGTTCGGGAGTCCAATTAAACTAATTATGCTCACATTATATAAAAAATAAATAATATATATTCAAATAGTGGTTTAACCCATCTCAAGATACCCAATGCACCATCAATATCAAGTCTTTGGACAAGTAATATTAACTGCTAGAGGTATCTTGTTGTAATAATCAAACATTGACAATAAAGCACGTCCAACAACAAACCAGTCTTTGGATTGATTTATCATCGACAAAGCAAATCCTTATAATTATCACATGTTTATCATTACAAGTGTGTATGCAATTCGGCCAAATATTAATCTTCCTTTGGGTCGACTAATACTCGCATGAATATACACAAACACTAACATTCAATATTTTTCATGAACTCGCCCAATTCAAGAGAAGTTACTTTGGTGACTTCTTGACTCAATTTGCTCACAAAAAATATTAAACTACCAAAAATTGAATATTTTATTTATATAACAAAACCAAATATTTAATATTTGCAAACTAATTCAAAAGAGAATCACCTCATTATAATTCTACTAAGGATGAAAACCTCCCTAAAATCTCATTAGGGATGAACACCTCATTTGAATAAATCAAAGGATGAAAAAAAAAGGCCTCATCTTCCACCAATACATAAAGGATTAACATCTCCCTAAAATCACACTAAGGATGAAACAGAGATAGTTCTGAGTCTCTTTAGCATACTGCTCTAAACCCTAAAAGGGGATTAAACAGTAATCACTCAAACCCTAATTTAACATCAAATTTTCTTTAAATTCCTAGGGGATAGAGGCAATAAAATAATAACAGTCACACATGTGAAAACATTCACCAGTTGCCTAAGATTCTCTGTGTTGGGAACTCCACAAACACCACCCCCAATTCCAAACCCATAAAATTAAATAAAAACAAAAGATTCAAAAAAGAACAGAGAACCCAATACAAGAAAAATTAAAATTTGAAACACTGTTTCTTTCTCAGTAAAACTTGAAACTTAAACTGAAACAAAAGGGAAAAACGAAGAAGAAGAAGAATCCATAACTTCCTCCACGGTTCCAATAGCAAGCAGAATCAAATTGGGGATGTTACCCCCAAATTTAAATTTTAGGGTTCATGAAAATTAGAGATTATTCTCCACTTAGGGTTCATAAAATTGGGTAATTTGAATTGTTTAAAACAAAATTAATCCTAATTTTCATAATTAGGGTTCTATAAATTAAACAGACATGAATCAAATATGGACGGCTCTGATACCAATTGTTGGAAAAACAATAATAATAATAATAATAATAATAATCCTGATTTTGATTCTAACAATCAAACATAAACATAATCCCATACTGATAAACATGCTGTAAACTGAATGCGAAAGCGTACCTGAATTAGCCATAACGATGATGTCTTTGTAGAGCACTATATTGATCTTATGGTCTCTACACAATTTTATTTTCATGACATATGCTTTTAGCCAAAACTTTAATTTAGTCAGATCACTTTATTATTTGGCTTAATAAATAATGACCCTAACACATTTAAATATGTATCATATATATACATGACCTAAAATTTGCCAACATTCTTAGAATAAGAAATAGATTTGCTCACTTTAAACATAATTTTAATATCTTCAAAGAAGAACACAAAATTATGGTAACTGAGACCAAAAAATCTCTCTAGATACACAATTGTACATAAATATAAATTGAAAGAAGAAAGAATAAAAGGTTGTTTAAACATAAGTTGTAATTTTTCGTTTCTGAGTGCTTTTCTTTTTATCATCTTTATATACTAAGAATTTTTAAAAGTAGCTATTTGTCTCATTAATCTTTTCTTTGAAATTAGGGGTTGTCAGTAGTTTTCTTTTTGTTCTTTGCATTCTTTCTTGTTTAATTTTCCTTCATGAACATTGGAGGACTCTAATTACTAGGAATTACATATGTTTTGCGTGCCTAGTTGATAACATTAAATGCTCTTCACCTTTTGGTCTTTTTTTTTTTTAAATAACTAATGTTGTTTATCCTTCTTGGAAATTAGTAATTATTAAGGTGATTTTGATTTCCGGAACTTTATATAGAGATTATCTTATGACTAAACGCAAGAATTCATTAAGAACAATGATTTTTTTTATTTGAACAAAAACTTCAAGAAAATGTTATTAAGTGATTATATAAAAATCTAATTGATTAAATGTTGCAATTCATTAATAAAAAAATATAAAAAATTATTTTTAATAAATGAAAGTTTATTTAAACTCAAGAAAAAATTATGAGTTATGATATAATTTTGAAACAAAACATAAAAAAAATTGAAAACAAAAGATGGAGGACAGAGAAATAAAAAGAAGATGGCAATTTTTTAAGAAATATAACTATAATTATTAATCACCAATTTGAAAATTTCAAAATAAATTTCAGGAAAATATCACTCAAGAAGAATCAAGAACTGAGAGAAACATAAACAACTTAACAAAATATTGAAAAAACAACAATAGATGGAGACAAATAAAATACTTTAATTTCTTAAAAAATATAACTATAATCACTAATCAATAATATGTTGGATAATCTAAGTGTGAGTCTAAATCTCACATTTAATAAGAATGAGAAAGTTGAGAAACTTATAAAAAATAAGATACATAACCTAATGTCTTAAAATTTTGAGTTGAGAGTGGTGTCAATCTCTTATATAGGGTTCAGCTCATGTCCCATTGGTGTTGTCTCTCCCGGTGAATCCCCTTGAAATATCCAACAAATGGTATCAGAGTCGATGGTTTGTATGGTGACAAAAGTTTAAGAGTGGTCATTATATCAAAAGTCTTCCTAACAGGGAGTCAAGTAAGTGCGTCTCGTTAAGATAAACGATGATACATAGAATTATTACTAATGAGTTCGATGGAATGTACCAATGTGAAGGGAGTCACACTTAAGGGAGAAATTGTTGGGAAATCTAAGTGAGTCGAAGTCCTACATTGAGTAAGAATGAGAAAGTTGAGCAACGTATAAGGAAGTAAGACTCATAACCCAATGTCATAAGGTTTTTTGTTGAGCATGGTGTCAATCCCTTATGTGGGTTGGACTCATGTGTCATTGGTGTTGTCTCTCCTCAATAAATTCCCGTCGAAAGACCCAAGATTGTTGGGAAATTCAAGTGTGAGTCGAAGTAAGAATGAAAAAGTTGAAAAATATATAAGGAAATAACACCCATAACCCAATATCATAAGATTTTGGTTGAGAGTGGTGTCAATCCTTTATGTGGGTTATGTTCATATCTCATTGGTATTGTCTATTCCTAGTGAATCTCCATCAAAAGATCCAAGATTTTTGGGAAATTCAAGTGAGGTTAAGTCCTATATTGAGTATTAATGAAAAAGTTGAGCAACATATAAGGAAGTAAGAATCATAATCCAATGTCGTAAAGTTTTGGATCGAGAGTGATGTCAATATCTTATATGTATTGGACTCATGTCTTATTAGTGTTATCTTTTCCCAATGAATCCCCATCGAAAGAACCAAGTGGTATTAGAGTCGATTGGTATGGTGACCGGCAATTTGAGTATGGAAGGGACACTAGTGAGCTCGAGGAGGATGTATCAATATGAAGGGACTCACACTTGAGGGGAAAATTGTTAGGTAATCCAAGTATGAGTCTAAGTCCCACATTAAGTAAAAATAAGAAAGTAAGACTCATAACCCAATGTTATAAGGTTTTAAGTTAAGACTATTGTCAATCCCTTATGTGAGCTGAACTCATGTGTCATTGGTATTGTCTCTCATCGGTTAATCCTCCCTTGAAAGACCCAACCAAATCAAGATAAAATTTCATAAAAGATGAAAAATACCCATAGAGTACTTAAAAGTTCATAAAAGCAAACTTTTTCTTTTATTGGAAAATCCAAATTACCTTACAAAATAAATAGAATGAGCCTTATATAAGCTATAGGTGAAAGATGAAATAATTAGACATTATTTTAGTGGAAGTAACACCCAACCAAACAAAACTCAAAATTTCCCCATTAGCCTTGTAATCCATTATAACTCCTATTTTATACTAAGTTTAGCAAATCATCCATCAAATGAGTTGGAGTGGTTAGCATTAGACAACTCATAACATAAGTTACTAGTATTAGATGATTTATCAAAATGAGTTATTAATATTAGTTTATTAATCAAATGAACTATTAATGCTAAATTAATCGTCAAACAAGCTACTAATATTAACAATTGAACTTCTAATATTTGAATAATTATTGGTCATCAAACCAACTTATTATTATCAAACCAACTATTGACATTAAACCAATCAACTAACATTAGAAGACCAACTGTTAACATTAAACCAATCAACTAACATTAGAATAACTAATTGATATTAAACAAGATACATCAACGGCTTATAAAATTCACACAACTTAACCAAATTATTCTCAAAATCAAACAATTTAGACCACTAGATAAGTTATACCATTACACTTCATTGTATGAGCTATTTGACAATTAAATAAGTTACACTAACTTTATTTCACCGTACAAACTATTAGACTGTAAGATAAGTTACACTAATTGTATTTTATTAGACAAGTTACATCATACATCAATCTTAGATGAGTTACATCTTCTATCAATCTAAGATGAATTTAAAAATTATGATTAACTACACAACATATATAATATGTGTACCTAACTGGTCCCAAAACAATCAAATATCAAAACTGAATATCATAATCGAATATTTCAAACCAAATATCTTAAGAACACTCGAATATCTCTCAGATACTCGGATACCAACTCATTCCAGGATTCTCATAAACTACCCCTCTTAATAGATAGGGATAAATATCCCTATTATCTTATATAAACAGGTTCAATATCTCATTTCATTCATACTCTATTTTTTTCTCGTTCTTACGTAAATATCAAAGAATCTTTTGAAGGTATCTTCCTTATTCTTTCTGCACCTACTCAACCGAATTGAAAGGAGTTTTGACTCCTCAAACCCAAGTAATAATAATATGCACAAAACGTTACTATTTTTATCTTTTGGATCAAAGTTTAACCCATAATAAAAAAAAATAATCCAAAACAAAGATTACGCACTTGCACTTCTAATCATAAACAATCAATTAGAAGTTTATCAATTAAGAAATACTAATTAAATAAAGCTATACAACATAAGCAACCTAACTTGAATTGAAAAACTCACAAGACAAATATGACTTAAAAAAAAAAAAGTAAGAAAAAGGCTTAAAAGAACTTCTACCAACATATAATATAAAAGTCTTCCTCGTCATAGTTGAAATGTAAAAAAAGTCATACACAAAGCATGCAATATGAGTAAAAAAAAAATTGCCTGCATCTATTTTATCAATAAAAAATGCGATTACAAACTTACTAACAACACCAAAAATATGATCAGAAAAGTGACTAATACTTGCGCCACTAATTAAATGCAGACCGAGTAAATATATAGAATCATTGTTAGAATCATGATAAGAAATTCCAAGATGAGAATACATCTCAACCAAAGGTCATCCAGAGAGAAAGAGAAATAACTTAAAGAATATTTATATGTATAGGATATCAAAGTTACTTAAAGATTAACACTTTATAAGAAAAAGGTGATCATGGATAAAAAAAATTGAAAACTAAATAAAATTAAATTCATATTATCTAATATTTAAATATGATCATATTTTTTCTCTCTAACCGAGTTTTGTAAAAGGTAAGAAAGACCATAACATTTTTTTTTTGCAAATTTTTAAAAATATATTTGACATTTTTATATTATTTGATTCTAAAATTATTTATTTTAATCCTTATAAAAATTTATAAATAATTATGACTTATTCTTACTTAAATTCTTCATAATTCATAATCACCCCTTCTTTCTTTTCCTTAAAAGAATATGTCTTTAAATAAAAAGCAACTAAAGAAATAAAATCACAATATTAAAATATAATTTACACTATACTTATTTAAAAGATATAAAAGATAAACATTGTGATTTATTATTAAAAATGTTTAAAAAAATTAATTTTCTCTTGATTATAACTTATTTAAGTAAAAATCTAATCTTATATATAACATATTAAAATTATTGAAATAATATAACATAAGTCATATATATAATAAAAGAGAAATTTACATTATATAATTGAAATCAATATAAGAATAAATTAGATTATTGATTGAATTATAATTATTTAATAATAATAATAATAAATAAATAAACATGCTACCAAATAATAATATAAAATAACTAATATGTATATATATATATAACTTTAATATCGTAGTTAAATTTTAAAAATTTTGAATAAAATTAAAAATATCATATGTAGTTATTTCATAGAAATAATAAAAAGACACAAAATTTATATAAATCTAATCAATAAAATAATTTAAAAAATGAATATGTTTTTATTACTATATGATTATTTTAAAATCTTCATTAATTATTGCATTTTTTTTCTCATCTATTTTTTAATAATTTTAATTAAATACTATAATGTTATTTTTATTGTTAAAAATTTTAATGAAATATTATAATTTTCCTTAAAAAAAATCTTTTGAAACATTCATTGTCTTTGTCTTGTTATAATTATAAGTAGTTCCACTTTAAAAGCTAAAAAAAAAAAAATCTTTCCATTGGGCATGTTTATAAAGGTGTGTAGTTGTGGAAATTGGGAAGAAAGCCCTAGAGAAGCGAAGATGGGAACTCCAGAGACATCAAGGGAACCTTGTCCAGATCGAATCCTGGACGATATAGGCGGCGCGTTCGGCATGGGCGCCGTCGGTGGCTCCGCCTTTCACTTCTTGAAAGGACTCTACAACGCGCCCAAGGGCGAGCGTGTCGTCGCCGCCTCCCAGGCTGTGCGCCTCAACGCACCGCGCGTCGGCGGCAGCTTCGCCGTCTGGGGTGGCCTCTTCTCCACCTTCGACTGCACCATGGTCTATCTTCGCCAGAAGGAGGATCCCTGGAACTCCATCTTCGCCGGCGCCGCCACGGGCGGCTTCCTCTCCATGCGCCAAGGCCTCCCCGCATCCGCCCGCTCCGCCGCGTTCGGCGGCGTCCTCCTCGCTCTCATCGAGGGCGCTGGCATCATGCTTAACAAGTTCCTGAGCGCGCAGCAGCAGATGCCCATCATCATCGATGACGGTTTACCTCCCAACGGTCTGCCGGACCAACCCGCTCCTCCGCCGTCGTGGTTCGGTGGGTGGTTTGGGGACGGGAAGAAGGACGAGCCTGCGTCCAGCGGAGGAAGCGAGACGAAGGTTTTGGAGAGCTTTGATGCGCCTGCTGTCCCTAATTTCGAGTACAAGTGAAAAAAAAATTGGATTTGGTCTGTAAGGGTTTAAGAATTAAGGGTCAATTTTCTTGTTTAGGGTTTTAGTTTCTTTTAGTTTTTTTTTATTAATCTTTTGTCTGTGATTGATTTTTATTGTATCAGCAAGTATAGTTTCCCTGGCTCTCTTTTTCTTATATATGCAGTCAAATTACAGATGGTGTTAAAATGCTTTTGATCTGAAATTCTTGACAAGGTTAGTCGATATATTTTATGACCTTTAGAATTTGAAAGAGAAAGTGTTAGTGGTCGAGGTTACTCGAACCAATTTGAGTGGCATCATTCTAAAAATTGAACTATGGATTGTTGGAAAAGGTGGTAAATATAAGCCCTCCATTTAGTTCTATCCATGAATTGGTCGAGTTTACTACCCTTGCTGTGTATCTTGTAACGGCGCAATCAAATTTTTCGAAGAAAATCTGTCTTTTAGCGTCTTCAAGCTAACGGATAACTTGTATATTCTAATTATTGGATGAACGTGTAAATGTGTGCAGGGTGAATGCACCTGATGATTTTAAATTTATGGTACCAAAGAGTGTAAAGAGTCTTTTAGCCGTTTGTGCTTAATGCTGTTGCTTCTTTTATGAGAGTTAATGTAAGAAGCGGATTGTCTCATAATATATTTGACGCACAGGTATATATGTTGGGGGAATTTTCGGCATGGATTTCGGTTTTGTAACTGCAGCTCACAAAACCAATGATCCGTATTTCTCGTATGGCTCGTTTTTTAATGATTAACTTGAGGACTAAGTTAAAGAAAATCTATTGTTGATTTGTGGATATTGGCCGATCTGACTAGTCTTTCTCTTCACAACTTTGCAAGATAGATTTAATTTTTCAACTTGCTCCAAGACTTCTTCTATACTCTTCATTTATTGATGTTATTTCTGCTCCAAATTTGTCCACCACCCTATTTTGGAGTTCACATGTCCTCAATCAAAAAATTCTACTAGGCACTGATTCTGTTTGTGTTTATTTCAGGTAGTGCAACTAAATTGCTAAGCATATTCAATCAAACTGATTCTACTTGTGTTTACCACTGGTTTTCCATTTAGTCCTCCTTTTCCCTGCTGAGCTGAGATGTTTTGGAGCAAAAATGTAAAATGCCACAACAATATAACGGGACTTAGCCCTGTTAGGTTAAAAAATTGAGTAATAATGTGTTGAATTTTACCCTAAAATTGCAAATACCAACTCTGCTAAAATTAGCTATTTATCATCATAAAAAGTTAATGTTTGTTAAAATTACAAAACCAAACATTAATCGACACTACATAATAAAATCGACTGTGAAAATTTCACAAAACTAAAATTAATCTACACAAGTAATATAATAGCTTGATTTACTAGTCTAAAAGACTAATCAATTAGCATAAAGAATATGTTTTACAATTTTTATTAGAATATTAAATATATATTTTGTTCTTTCATAAGTTAGAATTATAGTAAATTAATTGAAAAAAATTCTCTTTTATCGTAAGAAAAATAATTTTTAAGAAAAAATCCTGTGAAATAGTTCTTAATTGAAAATGCTGAAAAAAAAAATTACAAAGACAAAAAAAGAAAAAAATAAACAATGTATGAGGAGGCATCATTTCTTTTCCATTGAAATTATCAGAATACAAATCGGCATTGATATTCCTAAGCAAATCCCTCTCAGTGTTTGCACCAAATTACATTCTTAAACAAATTATTTTAGATGCCAGTCAGAAATTGCATGTTTCAGGCACCACAAAAGCAACATCAATCATCAATCATGTAGAATGCCCAATATGTCTTCATCCCTAAACAAATGGAATCTGCAGGAAAACAAGCAATTAATAAAATTTATTTCAGTTCTAAGAGCTTCATTCAAATAAAAAAAAAAAAAAAAATCGAAATCAGCTATACTCTTTGTCATCGAGCTTGATTTGCGTTCCACCGTATTCGGGCAAGAGCACACGATCACCTTCTTTGACGGACACCGGAATAAAGTTCCCTGTCTTGTCTCGTGATCCGGGTCCGACTGCTATCACCTTACCGGAATTAAGCTGTTTCGAAATGGAACAAAGCAAAACTTCATTAAACCGTTGAGAGATAACAAACCAAAAGAATCACACAAAACCAAACTCGGCCAGAGAATAAACCTGGGAAGACTTCTCGGGGAGGAGAATGCCAGCGCTAGTCTTAGAGGGAGGAACAATTTTCTCTACGAGAATGCGATTGAAGGTGGGAATCAAGCGCTTAGCCATCTCCTTCTCCTATTTCTACAAAATAACAGTGTGATTGATTTTAGGGTTTAGAAAGGACCGAGGATTCTTAAAACACTAGAACTAGGGGTTTCACGAAGAGGATAGAAGGTTCTAGGGACTAGATTCAGGATTTAGGGTTTTTACTCTTTAGGGTTTTGGAAGAACATTAATGTCCAAATGGGCTTAGAATATTAATATGGATAAGGCCATTCTGAGCCCAAAGTAGAGTATTACAACTACTGCTTTAGTTTTTGGGCCTGTTCTGAGAGTTTTGAGGCCTACTCATTCTTTACTTCGACCCTACAAAAGACATTCTTTGTTTATTATTTTTTTGTTGTTGTATTAAGTTAGTGACTAATATCATTTGTATCAATGTGAGGGATAGTCATTGATAAAAGAAAATATTATGTGTTTATCATTTACCTTTTGTTAACATGTTTTATTTAATATATTCTTCTGAATTTTAGCTTCATGCATTTAAATATAAATTTTAATCTAAGATTAAAAAAAATAATAAAATCGTATTTGAAACACGATTTTTATCTAAAATAAAAAAAAGTTAACAATTTTTTGATCGAGGACTAATTTTTACTAGGAAACTCAAATGTCATTTTTACTTGGATTTTTATTATCTAAATACTTTTTTTCCCATGAGAGTTTGTTTGAAGAAATTGAGTTTAATATAATGAGATAACAACTTGTTGATATATATGGCATAAAAATTCTAAAATATAATCAAAATGTGTCCTCAAACATTATAAAACCACATGTCACAAAGAGAAATAAATTATATTAATTATTTATTTAGTTATAATATTGATGCTTCAAAATGTCATACGTTAATTTATTTTTTTGGATACTTATAATTTTAAGGATTTTTGTTTACATTATCATCTAGTCAGAAATTTGATAAGTAAGACTTTTAAAAAACTTAGGAAAATATTAATAATTGTGTTTAAGACATTGGTTAAGAAATTAGAAAAAAAAATATTGACATGTGTAAAAAAGTATTATATGAATCTTTAATGTGTTTTAACATGGTTTAAAAAAAGTTTATATTCTGTTTGACAGAAAGGAGAGAGATAAATTAAAAAAAAATGAATGGAAATAATTGAGAAATGAAGTGAAAATTAAATATGTTTAATTGGAGAAAAATAACGTTAAATAAATATGTAAGAAATACAAGTACAATAAATCTTACAATCATTTAAAATTATTTTTCATTTTTTCTCTCCCACCAATTAAGTTATTGTAATTTGATCCTACGTGATTCTTTCATCCAAAATCACGGTTAATTCTTTAATCAAAATACAAAAGACATTGATTAACAACGTCCACAGACTGAATCGTCATTTCTTTATGACCCATCGTGAGTGTGGTGCATGGTGAGAACAACGAGAGAAACGAATGAGAAAAAAGCGAAAAGAAATTGGAATAGAGAATATGAGTGAGGATCAAATCTTGTTATTTCTTTGAGATGTTCTCAACTTCTACAAAGGAAACAGAATAAAGAAGTTTAAACTTTAGACTTGAGATCGAAGGAAACATTTGTGACTTTATATCACTCTAGTTTGAGTTAAGCAAATTTTGATCGTTTGAAGAGAAACCAAGACCATGAATTGGACAACCACAACCACAATCTCAAGATTCACTTTTAACTAGATAGACACTATCCCACATTCCCACTTTCTCTTTTCTTACTAAAGCCAACAACAAAAAACCAATTTTTGGCACACCCCACATGATGCTACCAAGTGGTTGGACCTTAGGTTCTAAGCATGCATGAATTCATGAATCTTCCTCAAATTTCTACAGCTACATATATGGTTATGTAGCACAAGCAAGATTCTATATATCACTTAATTTCAGCAGCTATCTTTTAGAAGCATGGTTGACAATAGTTCCGAGGACCACAGTTTGCCACTACTACAATACAACACAGCTTTTCAACCAATATTTGAGGCCCAAAACTACACTGAGGAAAAAGAAACATGTCCTTCATTTGCTTGTTGTTATCTTTTAAAGAGTGACTTTATGAAATGTGGTTATGGTTCCTACACCTTTCATTCTACGTTGTCCCTCTTTCTTCACAAGGAATCCTCTAGAATGTTGTGATGATCAAGTTCCACAGAAGAATAATGATGACAATTCAGCTTTGGGTGTGACTGTGAATGTTGCTTTAAGAAAATGAAGAGGCTAAGCCATGATTGGATGTAGGAATTTAAGGATTTAAGTGGGCCAATTAAACTGATTAGTACAAATTGATCATTCCAATTATTCAATTAACCTATGAACATTAACATTATGTATAAAACAAGAGAACATGATGAGGTTTATTGGGCAAAGTTTAGTGCCTATCATGACATGTTCGTTTAGCCTTTCTACCAAAAGGTGTTTCAACCGAATGTAGAGTACGATTTGCAAGACTCTTGTGGCTCTTCCATAACTTTCCTTCGAAGGAATATCTGTGGAGTCGTATAGAGATACCAGAATTATTTGCTCCACTACCTAGTAATACATACAAATAACAAAAATACACAATTTTTTTTTGTTTCAATTTGTGCTCTATTAATAAGTATTTTCTCCATGGAGATTCTCCTAAAAAGTTGTATTGGTTAAAATGATAAAGCATCTACAACGATATTTTCACATGATTTAGATAAATGTACATTCGAAAATTTTCTGGAAAGAGGTTTTCTTTCTCCTTCGTTACCCACCCAGTGATGGCGTGAACAAATAATGCTCTTAAAATTAGGTGAAGGTTAAAGTTTGGTAATGAATGACTGAAAGTCTTAATGGAATATTAAAGTATTAATAGAATAAAAATGACATTTTTAACATTCAAGTGGGCGTGCCGGAGTGGTTATCGGGCATGACTAGAAATCATGTGGGCTCTGCCCGCGCAGGTTCGAATCCTGCCGCTCACGTTTTTTTATTTAATAATTAACACTCTTACACTTATTTACATTCCATGTCTCCAGAGACATTTTATTAATTTTTCATTATTTTAGGAAATGTTCTTCTCAATTTACTACTTTTACTTATTTTTTTATCTTTTTTTTAAATTGATCATCTTTATTCTAGTATTAAATCTATGATGAATATTGATTTTAATTTAGTTTTTTTCTATTCTTCAGAATCATCTTCTTAAATTCTCCTTTATTGATTTTATTTATGTAAACTGTTTAACAATCAATTACTTTACATATTCGTAAATGCTTAGGAAAGGACCTAATTGTTGGACCTATAAAGAAGAGATTTAGGTTTTAAATCACTAGATTAGCTTAATCCTTCCACAAATCAATAAATTAAAACAAAAATATGTTTAATTCAGTAAAACTACAAGAGAGTAAAAATAATCTAAATAAGACACGTTTTCTTATGGTGAGAGGGAGCATAGGGTATTTTTGGTTAATTTTCCTTAAGAGAGAGCAAAAATACATTAAAATAATTAGATTAAGTAAATAGTTTTTTTCAGAGAAACTAAGTCTTAAAAATTTCTCATATCATATTTATGTCAATTACATTGTAATTTGTTTTAATTTTTATTTTTTTTATTCATTAATTATTTCACAATCAATACTCAATTTTATTTTTTTTAAGTTAATTCCTAATTACAAAGTCAAACTCATAATTTATAAATTCAATATCATTACTTATCAACAAGTAGGCTTTCAATTATGGATGATGGAAAACTTTCATATAAACTTTCTCTAATTCTCTCTTTTCTCCTTGAAAGTCTATTACAATTCTATCATAGTCCCTTCTTTATATATGCACATATATTTTAAATTTATTCGAATATGAGATTCTGCATATCACAAATTTTTTTGACTAATGAAAGCATGATAGCTTATCTTTTATATATTTATGAGAAGTTTTAAGTCTATATGATTGTTGATATCTGGATTAAGTCTAATTGTAAGATAATATCTTAGATAGAGACATGAATACAGTGATATAAATGAATTGAACAAGATACAACCGACAACATTAAACTTATTTCAGATAAACTTGACATAATTATATTACTATGTATTTTACAGTGTGTGATCGTGGAGACATGCTGAAGTCAATCTCACCTTAAAGAAAATCATTCATTGTCATCACCAACCACATTTCGGACCAAACAACATCTTTTTATCTCTAGTGAAAAGAAAATCAGTAAAGTATTATTAAAGATGAAGTAAGAAACATGGAGAAGTTTAGCACAGAACCATACGTGGTCTTCTGCGTTGGACCTAGTGGGAGTGCAATTATAGCAAGAAGAATCAATTATTCCCTTCACAACATTGGACTTGCATGAGAAGGTCAACTACCCAAAACATACTGTGTCACTTAGAGAGAAAAGACAACAATTAATTTCAACACCATAAGTTAAATCATATGTTTTCTACCACGTTTGTTGTAGTTACATCCAACTGAGAAGTGGAGTTCTATAAAGCTGTTCTTTTGTTTATGGGAATGGGACCCATCAAAACTCTTTGTCTCGATCCCTCATATTCATTATTTGTTTTAAGGGATTCTCCATTTTATAGGTCATAGCAAAGGCAATTATTGGTGCTAATTGGCCATTTCTCAGTAATGTTACTTGTCCATTACAAAGTAGTTCTATCCAAAACACAGACAGATCTATATAATATGTGTCCTACTATATAACTCATGCACACATATACACTACTTTGCAGGGTTTGCTGACTTATAAAGTTGATGTATACAGCATACCACATAAAGCTGATGACAAGTTGACTTTCTTATCCTCAATTGTGTTTCATCTTTTGCATTCCTTTTACAAATGTGTTCCCAAATATCTTCATTCACAATGCCAAAATAATCATTCCCCTGTTGTCTTCCTATGCCAAATTGATCTAATAATTAGTAGTAAATTAAGAACACATACCCCCTTATAGTGTTACAGCTTCAAAAGTTACGTGTGATGATGATAGAAAAGTTTTCAAAGTATCAAATGCAGTTGTATATATATTTTCTTATTATTCTTTATCATTACAGAAGAATAGAAACCATGAAACTTGATATTGTTTTTGATTTATCCATTTATGGATGTAACAGATGAAGGAGTGTGAAATGCAAATATTGCACTTAACAAACAACCACAATTTTTAGGTTTGGCTAAAGGAACAACGGACGGTTACCCTTCAACAGAATCTGGGCGGCTACGAGAAAAGAAAAGCATCCTATGCCCCACAGTTTTAATCAATTCCTCTTCCTTTACCACTTTACGTCTCACTCTTCACTATGATTGATCAAAATATATATTATCCAACACTTTTCAAATTTAATATAACTTTTTGCTTTTTCATGTAATTAATTTTAAAATCACACATGCATATCCATCGTTATCCAATTAGAGAAGTATTAAACAATCACGATACATACCATACCAACATGCAGTAAAAGCCACGTCTTGATGGTTTGAACTTTTCAGTGTCGTCACAATTATCAGCAATAATGTAACATGAAACAAAGCAAATCAATGTTCCTCTGTTAATCAAATAATTATTTTTTAATGATATGTACAACATGCCTGCTTAATCACAGAGTTTTATATATATATAACTCATTTTAATCATGTAGATGGTATCTATATATCTATATCTTTTATATATATATATATATATATATATATATATATATTCTATAGTAAATTTTAAAATTATTACAACAAATTAAAAGTCATTGTTATTTCCATTTAAATAAAAAGAATCTTTAGTAAAAATTGCATTGTTACATTATCTTGCAAATGCTTTGAAATCTATCAAAAGTTCACTAAATCTAACTTGCAAACTTTTAAAATTACTTAATGTTTCAGAAACTGTAATAATTTGAGAATTATAAATCAAACTAACAGCAGCTACAGAACCAAAGATGTTTAATATTTAAAAAGATGTTTCATCAAATATTTTTATCAATATCAAATACGCATATTAGTTAGAAAATAGTATATAATTTTAATATAAATGAAGAGATGAATTAACTTTTTCAATCTGTAAATTATATTCTATTGAAGATAAATAAAAATAAATGCAAGAATGTAGATATATCAGCTAGATTACTTGATTAATTGAACCACTTTTGAACAAAGAAAAATTGATAATGTAAGAATCTCTAGCACATTCCTTCAATCTGTTCATGAATGTAGCTTGTGCTTGCACGAGAAGAATGGATAGCATTGATCACCATTCTCTAAAGACAAGGACAATTCCACAATTTTTTGTGTGAAAAAATTTAGAATGTGTTTCTGCTTTGCACGACTCTTATGCTGTCAATTAAGAATAATATTTTTTGAAAGTTATGAAGAAAGACACAGAATTCTGCACAAATCTCTATGATTTATTGGAAGAATAATCAATACCCATCTACTCAATTTCATTGTTTTATGTGTAAAAGTTTTTTTCTTTTTCTCTCCAATATTTAGCATCAGAGAATAGGTTGCTTCAAATAGAACCAAGAGATTGGTGTAGTAGACTTTGGGGTACACTAACCCTAAAAAAGTTAACCAAGCAAAAAGATCACGAGACACGAGACAGTGTCCATGACATGTTCTTGAATTATTTCTTTTGGTTACAAAAAGTTTGATTTTCTTCTTTCTCTTTCTACCATAAATTATATAAACAAAAATAATGAAACTAGTGTTACAAAATTGGAAAAAATGGTTTGCCATAGGTAGAAAAATCACAACGAAGCTTCATTAATTTGGCACGTTGTTTTGTGCCATATTCTGTCATATGTTTTGTTTGGTCACATTACCTTTGCAGAAAGGTACCCACCTTTTTTCAACATACACTTAACCTAATTTATTTTTCTTTCTTTATTCTGTTTAATTGTAGAGGAGACTTGATCAAGAGATACTTATTCCTTTCATCTTTTCAACTATTCGCCAAGGATTTTCTTTTTTCAAATGAAAGTTCGAATTTATTCACAGTTACTAATCTCAACACTAGGCGAAACGCACAATGATAGATATTTAGAAAGTAAAATTATATATACTAAAATTAAAAAAAAAAACTACTTCCATTTAATTATAGTTTTTTATTATTACTTTCAATTCATCGTTTTTCGAAATCTATCTGATTATAACAAATGGGCATTTGAGATTTTTGAAATTTTGTTCTAAATGCCCATTTTCATGATTGAAACCCTTACTCTTTCTATAGTTTCTATAGTTGATTTTTGGACAGGTAAAAACAAAGTCGAATTTTTAAGATTTATAATCTGTCAAAGGTTATACTTTGGTTTTATAGTTTTTTTTTTTTTTTTTTTTTTTTTCTAGATCCTAAACGTAAACTCTATGACGATATCGTGATATTAAGACGATGTTATTGCATATTATTTTTAATAAAATAGTTGAGTCAACAGTGTTTCAGAGTAAAAAGTATTACTAAAGAAAAGTAAAATATTTATAGAAATTAAAATAAAAAATATATTATTTATGAAAATTAAATTAGAAAGTATCATTTTTTAAAAATTATATCTGAGTAATTTTTCTATAAGAAATACTCAATTATGTAAAAAAAGAGAGTTATCTATCAAAATAAGCACTTTGGTCGGACGGGTAAGTAGAAAAATTGTTTTTTTTTTTTTTTTAATTTGTTCTATCTCAATACCTCTCCATCTAACAATTAAAATTAAAACAAATTTTGGTGAATTTTTAAAATTAATTAACATCAAATAAGATGAATTTTTTTTTATAAATAATGCTAATTAAAAAACGTCTTATTTATCAACTGAGAATGATTGAAATCAACACAAATATATCTAAGATGCCAAATAATTATAATTTATATAAAAAAGTTAAGCAAAATATTAATATGAAGACTATATGTAACATTTTAAAGTTAAAATGTAATAATATAATGATCTCTTACCAAGGGAATAAGGAATAATTATTATAAAAAATAATATTAATGTTATACATATTCATGATATCATCACTGATAAATTTAACCAAGAAAGTTAATAACGATAATGAAAAAAAATTCAGAAGGGTGAAAGTTAAACAAAAATAAAATCACAAAATTAAAATCAAAATACCTATATTATAAGAACTGATTCTAATTTTTTATTTTTAAATTATTATTATTATTAATAAATATATCATTATCTTGATTTTTAAATATAAATTGAATTGAATTTATTTTAAAATAATATTTTTCAAATTTTAAATTAAATTATTTTAGTTATTGTTAATATGGGTTCACTGTGAATTAAAAATCCTATTTTATTGTAAGTTTTAACAAACCTTATGCTCTCTAAAATATTATTGTCGTATTAATCTTTAACTATAAAACAATTTAAACGTTATTTTTATATTAATTTAATCTATTGAAAAATATTTTTAATTTAAATTATGAAATAATAATATTAATCTCGTAGGTTGCTTAGTAATTAATTTAACAATTTTTTTGTCTATGCATAGTTTGTAGTTTGGATAAAGTAGTGTGGTTTAAAGTTGATAAGTATTGATAACATAATTGAGTTTGATCTCATGTGATTAAAAGATGAGGTTATACTAAAGATGATCTATATGATTCTTTAACCAAAATTAATGATACAAAATTGATGAATACTTCATAGATTGAGTATTATGAATAGAAATATTAGATTTTATGAAAAGTATGATATAAGATTCTTTAAAAAAAATCATACTTTTATACTAATAATATTATTATTAAAATTAATATAATTATATAGAGTAATAAATATAATAATGAATCTAATTAATATATATATATATATATATATATATATATATATTATGTTAAATTCCATATTTTATACTTAATTATTTTCGTATTTTAACTAGCATATAATTTTAACATATTATTAATGTTAATTTTTTTATATTATCAACTAATAATTTTTTTAAAGTAATTATTTGATTAGTAATAAAATTTTAATGATATGATAATTTATTATTATATAATAATATAAATTTTTTACACAGTTAATATATTCTAATTATTATTTTAAATTTAATTAATAAGTAAAACTAAAGAATAATTATAATAGTCACATGGTACACATCATGTTGTTTTGGAAAAACGTGACAAGGAAGAATAAGCTAAATGACCTATTTATTTTTATAATTGATTTAAATCAAACTATTTTATTCCCAATTTATTCTAATGTAAAATATAAATTAACATTGATGATTAGTTTTCTTAATAAAAATGTTAATATTGATGATTGGTTTTCTTAATCTATTATGTTACACAATAAACAAATCACTATGACATAGAGTTAAATGCAAACAATTCTTATATTTTTAAAGTGATTTATGAACAAGTTTGTTTATTAAATTTGATTATCTCAACTTATTTAATAATCAATTACATTTTCGGGGAGAAGTGATAAAACAGTTTAATATTTTAATATAATATATATTTCTTATTTATTAATATTTTTAAATCCACAAAAACAAACTATTCCATCAACAGCTTAATCTCCTGTTTACATTAAAATTCGAGGATTAAAGTACTTACAGCATTCTCTCGTAATCATATCCATAACCATATTATTTATCTTAAATTTTAAATGAAATAAAAATTAAAAAAAAATTAAAAAAATTTTGCTATCAAAATTTGATAATAATTTTAGTAAATCAAATACACTTACGTTCTTTCTGTAAAAAAATTTAAAAACTATATTTCGGGCTATTATATGTTAAAAAACTTACATGTTGAAACCAAATTTTGGTGTGCGTAGTTTGTTTGGTTATTAGAATAGCTTATAATGAATCTTTTTCTGTAATACATGCACAGTGGTCCTGCTCGGATTCTATCGGTAGAGATACCTATCTACACAGAGGAAGAAAAATATTTGTTATTTTATATGATACTGTATCTGAATGAAAGATATTTATATGATAGAAGAAAATCCCCAAACTAAGGATATGGAATTGGTCTTAACTTAATAATTACTTCAGAAAAAGTAAAAATGAAATAAATTGAAGCAAACAGATAGATAGTTTAGTTTGCATTGTTGCAAGATGCTGACGAATACGAAGTAAAAATCTCTTCTTAAATACGGCAATTGTAGAAACCAAATTTCAATGTAAAGAATGATACGTAGACTCGTGAAGGAACTACTACGTCATGGTGGTATTAATTTGTGAGCCAAAATCATTTTGCTATGATGTTGGTGATGTCAATAACCTTGGAGTGGGGGGTTGAATATTGTGTTGTGATTGATGATTGATGATTTCAGTCATCGACTTAAGCAGAGTCTCTTAGAAGTCTTATGAAATTCTAAAATGACTTGAACAAACACATTTGTGGGACCTGAATTTTGTGGTTGAAAAAAAAGGAGTGTCCAAATTTGAGAGAAGAGAGTGTAGTATATTAGCTGAACCGTACAGTATGGTCACTACAGGCACAGCTCCGCTATCCCTTCTCGGTTTTTGGTTTCTGAAATTACATCTCATATTTGTTGTTATCCTCTTGTACTTTAGGTGACATAGGTGCCATCTTGTTTTATAGCGGTTTTGTAGACGTATTCATTACTGGGGTAGGTCTTGGAGCTTCACATAAAACCCACCTTTGCTCATACCATACCACATAACATTTCAATATACTTCTTCTCTTCTCTTCAAATGGACCCAAATGCTTGCTCTATGCAGCATTCCCATTGTGTAGAGATGACCATGGAAGTGCACCAAGTTGTTCCGCCACCCCACAAGAGCACCCTGCATAAACTCAAGGCCAGGCTCAAGGAAACCTTTTTCCCTGATGACCCTCTGCGCCAATTCAAGGGACAGCCACTTAAGAGAAAGCTAGTTCTTGGAGCTCAATATCTGTTCCCTATTCTTGAATGGGGTCCGAAGTACAGCTTCAAACTCTTCAAATCTGACCTTGTTTCTGGCCTCACTATTGCTAGCTTGGCCATCCCACAGGTTTGCATCAAGTTCTTCTCTCTCTCTCTCTCTCTCTGCCTCTTTTGGTTGTTTAGTAGAGATCATGATTGTTCGTCACTGAAGACAAGCCTATTTGAATTTGTTATCTCTATACCTTCTTTATTTTGTTAGTAGAGACCATGGTTATGCTATTCTGCATGAACTTGTCATCTCTATGACTCTTGAGTCATGAAAATATTCACCCTTATGCTTAACTTTTTCTCTTATTCAATTATGAGTGTTGTCATTCAGGGAATCAGTTATGCTAAGCTTGCAAATCTTCCTCCAATTGTGGGACTTTGTGAGTATATTAATTTACCTCTATAGTTTGTGCTAATTTATGATGTTACATGTTAATGAGTTGTGGTTGGTCTTGCATATTTCAGATTCTAGTTTTGTCCCACCACTGGTTTATGCTGTTCTTGGAAGCTCAAGGGACCTAGCTGTAGGACCTGTGTCTATTGCTTCTCTGGTGATGGGATCCATGCTAAGACAGGAAGTGTCTCCCACCGCAGACCCAGTTCTGTTTCTTCAGCTAGCTTTTACTTCAACTTTTTTTGCTGGTCTCTTTCAAGCTTCACTTGGCATCCTAAGGTAACCTGAAATCATGCAAATTTATTTATTTTTAGCACATGAGAAAGTACAGAATCATTCTGGTATATAAAATAAGGTGTTGTGCTATGGTTAATGATTGCAGGCTTGGCTTTATAATTGATTTTCTGTCTAAGGCTATTCTGATTGGGTTCATGGCTGGAGCTGCTATTATTGTCTCACTGCAACAGCTCAAGAGCCTGCTTGGAATCACACATTTCACTAATCAGATGGGACTGATTCCTGTGATGACTTCTGTTTTTCATAATATACATGAGGTTGCTTCCTCTTTAACTTTTACTCATAAACACGCACACAGAATTTCAATTCTGATAACTGTTCTTGTCTTTAGGTTAGAATGGATTTTACCTATCTGTATTATCTCAAATTTTATTTTTGTGGGTTTTCTGCAGTGGTCATGGCAAACGATACTGATGGGGATGTGCTTTCTAGTGCTACTACTATTAGCCAGACACGTTGTATGTTATTCTCTTCAATCATCTCTTTCTCTTTCTCTGTTTTTAATTTACACTTTTATTTTGTCTTATTAGATTTATCACAACCAGTCTAAAGTCAAAAAATAAGACAAGACCATTAACATATTACATAATATACCTTCACATGCACCAATTATAAACACATGGGTCTGAGGTAAGAGTTACGAACTACACTGACACACTTTATTAACAGTCATTGATATTGTAAACTTCAAGTTCATCTGTTAACACTTGAATCCGTATTGTATAAGAATTTCTTTTAGAGTAACCTTAAAAATATACACATAATGTTATGTTATACATTCAATACATTTTCGTGGTTAAAAATATACACAAATATATAAGCCATGTCATAATGTCTCATTTTTTAGATTTTCTTCAACAAAAACATTAAACAGTTGTTTTGAGTTCACATTATGACTGTATTATTAACCACAGTCTGATAGTGAAACAGGACAAAAACATTAAACAGTTGTGTATGGTTCACATGATGACTTTATATTAAATATTCTCAAAATGAAATAGGGGTGTAAACAATGTCACCTTTTAAGAATTTAGAAATAATGTTTGTGTAATAATTTCCTCATTTAGAAAATATATAATAAAAAAATGTATTTAATTAACCTAATATTATTTTAATTAATTATTCAATATTTTAAAATTTTAAATAATAAATGTTATATAGATTAAATATCCACAATAATATTCATTAATCATTTTAATATTATGTAAAAATGATTAAATATAAATTTAATGTGTTCAATAATATTAAATTATAAAAATATTTAATGTGTTTTTCACTTTAAAATTAATAAATATAATAAATAAATTGATAAGGTTAATTTACCCACAATACTTTTTATTAATTATTCAATATTTATAAAAAATTATAAATAAAATATATTGAATATTATAAAATTGTCAAAAATAGAATATGTCCTTTATAATTTAACTAATTAATTTATTAATTGAATATAGTTTAAAGATGTTTTACAAATATTCATTAACAAAAATATTCATTTAATAATTTATTAAAAAATTAAATGTTTTATTTAAATAAATCATAATTTTGGAATATATGTTAATTTAATTTATAGATAAGTTTTTATAATATATATTATAAAAAATATGTATGTGGTTATGTATGAAAAACAAATCTTATTTTAATGAAGAAAATTATGTTAAAACTACTTTAACGGTACAAATAAACAGATATAAATTATTAAATAATAAAATTATACTTTAAAATTAAAATATATTTATAGCCTATACTTTTAAAACAAATAATTGAAATTCTAATAACTTAATGTGTTTTAGATTATTGGATTCGTTTCTAATATTTTTTTACAAAAATAAGTGAATTTTACTTCGCCGATGAAATATAGTGACAGCGTATAATATATAGTAACAAAAATAATAATTAAATTTTAACAGTTTTATTATTTTATTTATATGTAAGTATATGTGTACACTTTGTAAGTCAATTATTTTATCATAAAAAATAAATAAAATTATTATTTAAAAGATAAATTATTAACTTATAGTTATAAAATTAATTGCTGTGATTTTTTGATATGAAGTAATGTGTAACCTTGTGTAAATCAATAATTATAAAATAATTTTATCATATAAATGTGAATTCTTACTTTTAAAAGTTAATTTTTAACTAAATGTAAGATAAGTTATTATACTACACATTTTTATGTCTGTCTTTAATAAAAATACTCGTTTTTTATATTACCCTAAGTTTTTTTTTTTTTGAAAAAAAGTATAACTTAGTATGATAATCATAGTTATGTTATTCATGTCACAATTCATTTACAATATAAAAATTTATGTATTATGCATTAAAAAAAAAACAAGGATAAGATTTTACTATTATATATATTAGAAGTTTTTGGTATTCTTATTATTTCATTAAAATTTATTTTCTCTAATACTAACAGAGAAGAAATTTATATTCATATTAAATCTAGAGTTAATTATTAATATATTTTAAATTTTTAACAAGATTTATTGATTTTGACTAGTCCCAAAAATATTTTTTTCCCTTTTTTATAGTGCATCAATCTTTCAAATCACCAACTCATTTTTTTTACTGCTCATTTTTTTTCACTTTTACTTTTCGACACATCATTTATTATATTTTATATTTTTCTTTTTAATGAATAAATAATTTGTTGTATAGATAATTTTTTTATAAATAAAAATTTAAATATATTATCAATCAACAATGTTTTCTTATTAGCAACTTTATCTTCGCAATAACATTGTGAAAAGTTAAGTTGATGATTGTAGATAATAATATTTTTATTTTTAGAATGATAAGATTTTATATCAATAATTTTAAAATAACAAAAGTAACTCATTAAAATAAAGTTAGTAAGCTATAATGACAATTTTGAAACACACGTGTAATATTAACTTTTTATTCGAAATTAACATATTAATTGCTTATTAAATTGTTAAACTGATTGAAATTGAAAAAAACTAAAAAGTGATGAAACTGAAAAGTTGTATTTCTTATAGTTTGATTAGGTTTTCATTTCTTATTATTGCAAAATTTGAAACATTCAAAACCAAACTAAATTCAACTGATACTTACATATGAATACTTAATATTATGTAGTATTATCATAAATTTTGATAGTTTTAATATGTGACTTTTAATCTACACTTCCTTTATGAGTAATAAGTATTAATAATTTTCTTTTAGTTTTGAATTTAACATACACAGTTTCATTTCATATGTTATAAAAAGGGTAAATCAATATCGTTTACAAATAGTATTAAACAACGAAAAATATATTTTTAATTAGAGTATTATTAAATACAACGGAAAAAATAAAATATTTTTAATAAATAGACCATAATATTATATAAATTTGATTACTAAATTCTACATTCGAACAGTACATTTTAAAAAATTATAAAACTAAACCAAACAAAATTACATAATATCGATTTCGGTTCAGCGAATTTAGTAGGTTTTTTTACCATTTAATATAAGAAATATAACTTTAATATGTACAAGGTGTATACTAAGTATATTTTTTAAAATATATTTTATGGCTCAATAGATATTAAATGGTTTATAACACTTTTATTATGATAAAAATACGATATAATTTTTTCAAAATAAGTTTTTTTTTTTTCAGTTTTTTAATTCTTTTTATGAAAGACGGGCCGGCCCGCTAAATCGAGGAACAATACGAGATGGGTCCATACTTACCAAAAACAAGTCCACTTAGAAGTCAATGTAAAATTAGAATTCTATTTTATTCAACATTTCCTTAACAACCTTACCACTTGGTCAAGATGATAACCCTTTTAGAATTTTATAGTGCATTTGTATAAAAAAAGAGAGTGTTATAAGTGATTTCCTAAATCCTTTTTATTATTTCTCAACTCTCATGTGAGCTTTGTAAGAAAACAAAAATTATTTTTTACTAGTAAGGGACGCATAAAATTAATTTAAACTGTAAATAATGCATTATAAAAATCATATTAAAGGTCTGTTATTAATTTTATATGAATAAAATATATAATTAGCATTATAAAAATCAAGCACTATTTTTAAAGGTCTATGTGATTTTTCTGAAAGGATCCATTAATGTTTAAAATGTTAGATTGATTAGTATAAACTAACTTAAATGAAAATAAATACATGCAGAGCATAAAAAAACCAAAGCTATTTTGGGTCTCAGCTGGAGCTCCTCTTTTGTCGGTCATAATCTCCACCCTTCTGGTTTTTGCAGCGAAGGCTCAAAATCATGGCATTAGTGTGGTAAGTCATTATTTCAATCCTTTGAAATCATCATTAGTTTGACCCTAACAATTTTCTAGCCATAAATCTTTGTGAACATAGTATGATGTTGTTACTAGATTGGCAAATTGCAACAAGGAATAAATCCTCCTTCATGGAATATGTTGCGCTTTCATGGCACTCACTTAGGCTTAATTATGAAAACAGGGCTTATCACTGGCATTTTGTCTCTCACTGTAAGCTTGTATTTTCTTTTCCTTTTCTTTTCGATTTTTTATGTGCATTTGGTTTCATTTGTTACAATGGATGAGTATTTTCTTTTTCTTGTTATTTTTAATAGGAAGGTATTGCAGTGGGAAGAACATTTGCAGCTCTAAAAAACTACAAAGTGGATGGAAATAAGGAAATGATGGCAATTGGGTTTATGAATATGGTTGGCTCTTCCACTTCCTGTTATGTTACAACAGGTTTGTGTCTGTGACCTAAACACAATTGCAAAATACTTTCTTGAAAACTCTAACAAGGATAAAACTTGACCTTATAAAGTACTGAAATTCAGGTGCCTTCTCTCGGTCAGCTGTTAACAATAACGCAGGTGCAAAAACAGCTGTGTCAAATGTAGTGATGTCCGTGACAGTCATGGTAACACTCCTTTTTCTGATGCCATTGTTCCAATACACACCAAATGTTGTGTTGGGTGCAATCATAGTCACTGCAGTAATTGGCCTCATTGATCTCCCTGCTGCTTACAACATTTGGAAGATCGATAAATTCGATTTCCTTGTGATGTTGGTTGCTTTCATGGGTGTTCTTTTTATCTCTGTCCAAGGAGGCCTTGGTCTTGCTGTAAGTTCATTTATTTCTCCTAACAATGCTCACATCATGAATATCAATATTATGGGTTTTATCTTTTATGTACAGTACTTACAAGGCTATAGCTATACTTCTAGCTTGTCCTGTATATAAGACCAAGCGTTTTTCATATTCCTGCATTTTAAACAAGTGACAAGAATGCAGAGAAAATATATCGTGGAAGCTTTTAGCACCCTTATATGCAACTACATCAGAGTGTAGTTCTTTTATTGATAAGGAATGCTATGTTATTGATTAGGTCGGGTTATCAACTTTCAAGATACTAATGCAAATTACAAGGCCAAAAACAGTAATGTTGGGGAAGATTCCAGGAACAGACATATATAGAAATCTTCATCAATATAAGGAAGCTGTGAGAATACCTGGTTTTCTTATTTTAAGTATTGAGGCTCCCATCAATTTTGCTAACATCACATACCTCAATGAGAGGTTAGTTTCAGCTTGGTAAATTTTATGATACAAGTTTTGTTTTGTTACATAAATAATGTTTCTCTTATTGCTAAACTATTGGCATGTTATGTTAGAACATTACGATGGATAGAAGAAGAGGAAAACATAAAAGAACAATTAAACCTTCGATTCCTAATATTGGAAATGTCAGGTAATGTCATTGCTTTTGACAACAGATGGAATTTCATAATCTTCATTTGCTGTAAATCATATAATTTTTATTGCACTGTGGCATTTGGTTCATAATTGTTATAATTGTTTGGGAATCACTTTCTAATCACAAAACATTTTTTTTTCACATTAGTTATTAATTACTTATCATTAGATTGTTAAACAAAGAATATAAAGTTCTGATAAAGGAATCTAAATAACGAAAGTCATGTTCTAATCTATGAATGTTCTCACCTCACATTTCTAACACATGCCCATCTAAGTTCATGTATGTATCTGTCCTTAATTAGTAAGTTCAGCTAATAACAGTGCAGTAGCTGTGCAAGCTTATTATTGATCATACTTCATCTACATACTTATTCGACAAGCCTTATTAAACTAATCAGAAAAAATAATGAGTATCATCATGTCTCTTTGAAATTTCCAGCTGTGAGTGCCATTGATACAAGTGGAATCTCACTATTCAAGGAGTTGAAAGCAACATTGGAAAAGAAGGGTGTTGAGGCAAGAATACTAACTCTGAGATTTATATGGTTTACACACCTTTCTACATGTTTCAAATATCAATTGCAACTAATTCATGCGAGTTGTGACAGCTTGTGTTGGTCAATCCTCTTGCCGAGGTCATTGAGAAGCTGAAAAAAGTTGATGAAGCTAGTGATTTCATACAAGCAGATAACCTTTTCTTGACAGTTGGAGAGGCTATAGCTTCACTTTCATCAGCAATGAAGAGTCAGTCATCAACATTATAGGAGGGACACAACTGTGTCAAATAACTGTTAAATTAAGACTGGAAAATATATAAAGTCAAAGTAAGAAAAAAAAAAAATGGTAGCAATAATAAATTGGCATACAATTTGCACAAAACCAATCATTGTAAAATCGTATAGCTTAAACAACAAATTCGAAATCTTAGTCATTTGTGCCCATGCTTACAAGGTTTGTCACAAGCGTTGCAGTCATATCTTAAATGGAATATACTTGTTGCTTGTTAATTCAATAGTTGAAGTTGATTTCCAAGCATTTTTCAATGAATTTGGTTCAATAAAACTTGAGTTTGTAAACATTTCTTATTATTTCAACAAGGAATTCGTCTAGGATGACAAAAAACTCGTCCTTGTGAGGATTGACTCGCATTTGCGATGAGTATGACAAAGACAGAGTTGAATGAGTGAGTTTTCAATAATTACAAAAGTTGAATTTGAGATCGGAGATGTGTGCCAAATTCCCTGGTGTGACCTTGCCATTGTCTTCATTCTTCCCTTATCTTCATCTTCGACATTTAATTTTAATCTAAATCGTAGCAAATTACTTCTAATCTTCTTCTGTCTCACACACATTGAAAAACAACGTATTTGTTATAATAATATTTTATATTTATATATATATATATATATATATATATATATATATATTTTTTTTTTTGGCCTTTGAGAAGATATGAAAGGAAAGTGTTAGTACATGTCTCAAATTGAAATGTAATAGACGAATAAACACTTCATGATGTTTATATCACGAGATTAATAAAAAGATGCTTATGTTTACTTCATGATAGTGTTCACTGCATCGGTAAAACCACAATCAAGATTACCAACACCATACAGGCTTCCTTTTTCTTTCTACCAACATCGAGTCTTAAGTTTCTCTCGTATGATAAATGTTATTTCATGAATATATTAAATATTATAAAAATGAAGTTAAAAAAAAAAATTAGCATAAAAGAAACTCATTTAAATCTTTTTATATCTATTATCAATACATTCGTTATTATTTTTTTATATATGTATTAGCTCACAGACTTCGTCAAGAAATAAAGTCCGACCAAATTCCTTTGACTAAAAATAAAAATAAATTAACATACATGTATACGTATTGTTAGTTAATTAATAAGAAAGTATGTTCTTTTAATGTACATCTCATACTTATTCATATTATGGAGCAATATGCATATACCCAAACTTGTTAGATGTTTAATTTTTCCTAGCTCATTTACACTTTGAGAGATAAGAAGCTATATTCTTATGGAATAACAAATTATTTCATTTATCTCTTCAATCAATGTTAATCATTTACTAATATTTTTTACTTCCATGAACATTTTAAAAGAGATTATTGTTGAGAATTCAAGAGTGAGTTTGAAGTCCCACATTTGGTAGAAACGAGAAAGTTGAGTAACTTATAAGTGAGAAAAACTCATAACCTATTGTTTTAAGGTTTTGGGTTGAGAGTGATGTCATATTCTCTTATATAGTTGACTCATGATCCATTTGTGAGAATCTTCCTGTGATATTTTTTATAACAAGAAAGGTCTAGATAGAGTATAGAGAGAAATAAGTATATTATCCTATATAAAAACATCATTTGGCATGACAACAGGGCGAGGACGGGTTTTGCCTCCCTAATCCCCGCTCCGACTTTTTTAACCGTCCCCGCCCTCAATCCTCACCGGGGTTAGAAATTAAGTCATCATCCCTGTCCCCGTAAACATCATTACACTTAGGCATGACAACGGGGCAGGAGCGGGTTTTGCCTCCCCGATCCCCGCCCTCCGCCCCCGACCTTTTTAACCCTCCCTGCCTCCGATCCCTACCAGGGTTAGAAATTAAGTCCCCATCCTTGTTTTCGTAGGGTTTCGGGTTCCCGCCCGTTCCCGATCTATATTACTTTTAAAAAGATAATTACATTTATAATAAATTAATTTTACTATGTATTTTTATATATAAACAAATATTTATAATTTTATAATTTATAATTATTATTAATTAAATATACATTTTAATTTATTATATTTATATTAAAATATGTATGTAAAAGAAATATTTAATAATTTTTTATTTATATATATATATATATATATATATATATATAGAATATTTATAACATTATTATTATTATTATTATTATTATTATTATTATTAGTAACATTGTATTCAAATATTTGAATATTTATAACATTATTATTATAATACTATATTCAAACATTTGATTATATATATAAGTTAATTCTTATTTAATTAGTTCGAAGTAATAAAAATTTAAATTATCAATTCTTTTTAATCCTTTAAAATACAATTATTTTATTAAGATAAAATTTGATATATGATAAATAAGAATAATAAGATAAAAAAATATGACATAATAAAACCTAATAAATATAAATTATAAATAAAAGAATATTAGTTACTACTAAAATTTACGTAAAATATTTAAAAAAAGATAAAGAAGAAAAAAAAATTAATTTTGTGTTCATCAAATTAGTTGAAAAGATTGAAAAAAAAAACAAATTGATGGGAGAGATTAAGAAAATGTGAAAAGCTAAAAGGTAAGAAAGAATAATGTAATAAATTAATTGATATAAAAGATTAAAAAAGACAAAAAATTAAAAAATGGGTAGAAAAAAAATAAAAATTGGTGAAATATAAAAAAATGACCTTATATGTAATAGAAAAAGAAAAGGAAATACTTTTAAAATATTAATATTTTAAAATTTAAATTTAAATATAAAGTCGTGATGGGAACATGGTCGGGGTCAGGGTGGGGATTGCATTACCCATCACCGTCCCCGCCCCCGACTTTTTAAAGTGGAGAAAATTCGAACCCGCCCCGCCCCAGTCAACTTGGGTTTTCTCCATCAAACTCGGGGCAGGGACGGGCCGGTCCCCACAGGTACGAGTTTAATTGTCATCCCTAATTACACTTACACATCTACTATATAAAAACAATATTTATAACTAGAAATAGAAAGTTAGTTAGGCTATTTATCCTAACAGAAGCATCATTAATTGTAATTATTGAAATATTATCTAATATAATCTCTTAATTCAACAATCAATTTCATTCTTTAAATATTCGATTGTGAAAGCAATAAGGGGGAGATTGATGGAAATGTCCCTACATTCCCAAGAGATAATTTTGATGATGATTCAAGTCAACTACATTCAAGTCAACACCATTCAAGATGAATTAAGGAAAAACTGAATTTATAACGTTGGTGACAATGTGAAACATTTCCCTACGTGCCCAAGATATGTTTTTGATAAAGATGATGATTCAAGCAAGCCCAAGATGATTCCTGAAGACTAGATAGAGTCTTAGAATACTGGATATGGAGGTACAAGTTGATGAAGTAATATTATGCATAAGCCTCCAAAATACAAGTGTGATAAAATTCATAACGTGATATTTTTCACTTTCATAATCAATTATGATGCATCAGAAATGGAGAAATGATTTTCTCTGTCATAATTGATTATACTGGTAACATAATCAATTATGACAATTCAAATTTGAAAAATATATCTGTTTTGAAGAATAAATATTTTTGAATATATCCTGATTTTTATTCACAAAAATATTAATATCCAACGACCATTTTCTGATGCTATTTTTCTATTTAATTAAGTTTTGATGAAAAATAAAAAACACACAATTACAGAATTCGAAAATACAATTATCATTCAATCAATTTTGAGAAAAGAATTATGAGCAAGACAATAGAGATATTTTACACTTTCTGAGCAAACCCTCTTCTTTACAGTCTTTTGTGCTCTCATTGTTAATCACACTTGTTCTTGGAGATTGACATTCTACATGCTTCTACAATTTGTTGTCTCCATTACCTAGGTGTGACTGTTCTTATTTTTATTTTCTTTATCCTTTTTGTGTTGGTGGAAAATGAGGTGCTTTTCATCCCTAGTGTGATTTTAGGGAGGTGTTCATCCTTAGTGAGATTCTAAGGAGGTGTTTTCATCTTTTGATTTGTTCAAAGGAGGTTTTCATCCCTAGTGTGATTTTAGGGAGATGTTCATCCTTAGTGGGATTCTAAGGAGGTGTTTTTCATCCTTTGATTTGTTCAGAGGAGGTGTTCATCCCTAGTGGGATTCTAGGGAGGTGTTCATCCTTAGTGGGTTTCTAAGGAGGTGATTGTCTTTTTAATTAGTTTACTTTTTACTGGTTCTTTTACTGAGTTGATTGTAATTTGTAAACTGAATTTGAAAGATAGTGAATTGGGAGTCACTCTTGTGTTAAGAGTTGACTGGGAACTGGATGTAGGATTGGCTATACCCGAACCAGGCATGGCAACGGGGCGGAGCGGGGGCGGGTTTTGCCTCCCCGACCCCCGCCCCCGATATTTTTAATCGTCCCCGTCCCCGCCCCCGATCCCCGCCGGGTTAAAATTTAAGTCCCCATCCTCGTCCCCGTTGGGTTTCGGGTTTCCCCGCCCGCCCCGTCCCCGTTCTATGATATTATTTTAAAAGTAATTATATATAAATTATAATAAAATAATTTAAAATTATTATTTTTTATATTTTATTTTTTATAACAAATAAATATAATATTATAATTTTTAGAATATTATTATTGATTGAGTGTATATTTTAATTTATTACGTTTATATTAAAATATTTATGCATAAAAAATATATTTGATCATTCTTTTTTTCTTCTTATTATAAGTTGTTAATCCTTTAAAATTATTAATCCTTGTAAACAATATATAATAAAAATAAGTTTCAACTAATGATCCTTTTAAAATAATTATGAAATACATCTAAAAATACTAATAAATAAGTAAACAAAGTTTCTCATGGAAAATAATATAAGAAAACTGCATAATTATTAGTAATTTTCTAAAGATAAAAAATCTTCTGTTTATTTCTTCTAAAATAAGACTTAAATTGATCATAAAAGATAAAAAAATATAATTAGTTAATTAACATAAGATATGATATATGATAAATAAGAATAGTAAA